AAGAGCCTTTCTTCTCACACATTAGTTTGATATTACTATAAAACACTGTCTGTCTAAGTTTTAGTGTCGGGTGCTCGTTTTCCTCTTTTAATGTTTTTTTCTCCTTTTCGTTTGTGAATGAAAGACGACAATAAAGTTTAGCAAATTGTTTAGTTTGAGTGAGTGTACGTGGTCTTTTTTTTTTTTTGATGAAAAAAATGTGTGATTGAACAGTGGAAACGTTCAAAAACGTTTGATGCAAGTTGAGAGTGTTTGATTTGAATAAAAGAATACAGTGGGAAATAAATAACCCACTGCTGACCAAATAATTTTGTAATTTTTTTTCAAAAACATACGAACAGATGACAACAAGTGTAGGTTGTTATTTATAATTGATCAATAGTGCTTCTACGAACTCATCAGAGCTTCTTTTAATAAGATATATATTAATCGGTCAATTTTTATGAGATCAGTGAACATGATCAATAACAATTTATTTGATTTGATTCTATTTAATAATAATATTAATCTGGTATCAGCGAAATTGGATAAATATTGATGTAAAAAACAGAAAAAGAATGAGAAAAACTGGGCGTCATCGCAGATACAAAAATGTGAAAAAGACGAACGTAGATAAGACATAAGGCTCGAATGAAAAGTATACAAATAACAAACATTAATAAATCACGGTTTCTCTAGCACATACTGTCTTGTTGTTTAGTGAAGTGCGTACATGATTCTATATACACTTCCAAGTTGCCAAATCTCATTCTCATAAACGCATACGAACTGTTCGTTTATTTACTTAATTTCATGTAACTATTGTATTACTAGCTACGTTATGATATTACATTCTCTTTAAAGAAAACTTCTTACATTATAGACCGTTTTCAGTAAAATTCAGTGAGTGCGGATATTTTTTGAACACATTTTTGACGAAAAGAGATGGAATTCTGTGGATCTTAGGATATGTGTAAAATATGGTAACGCTCACTAATATCCAGAAAAGATATATTCCAGTATAGATTCTTTCTGTCCACAATAACTTCAGACTGTCTTTCTATGTGCTTATCTCAAAACCGACTTTTTGACCGAAAATCGCAATTTCTGGGGGGGAGCCCTTAAGTAAATATAAGCGTAATGCGAATGATTGCTAACTCATGTTGTTTTGGGGTGTTAGTTGCTGTTGGTGGTTGTTAATGAGTATGTTTGGATTGTTAGTAGCCGTTATTCAGTATCCAGGACTAGTGTGAGATGGCCTCTGGAAACAGCAAAAACAAGTAAAATATAAGTTTGTCCAACACACTGGATCCTTTGACAATATTTGTTTTTATTAAAAACTTAATAGAAATCTACTTTAGTCGAAGTATCCATATTAGGCTATTTTCATGCCAAACTGAAAAACTTTTAAATCACTCAAACTCGAAGATCGAGTATATTCTGCAGTGTTTTGAACCGATTTTGAGTGACTTGAAATGATGACGTTTGTGCTAAAGTCCGATTGATAATATAGTCAAGCTTTTAATAACCGATCTCTTTTATCAATTGAAATGAGAATAACATTTAAATTTTTTAAAGAGAAATTAAGAAATTTTAATATTTTATAAATTCTTTCTCGTTTGACATGCTGATCATAGCTGCCAGCTTGTTCGGACAAATCCCGGTTTTTGAATTTTTTCCGGATTTTGAGAATTTCCTGCTCTTGGCTATTTTTCCCCGATCATGAAGATTTTAAGTGTTTTTTTATCTATAGTTTGTGGAGGTTGCCTTTCTCATATTATAGGCCAGCTAAAGTGTCAGTTATTTTTATTTTTATTTTTTCGGATAAATATATATTAAAAAAACAGCGTGTCGATTAAAATCGAAATTTATATTTATGTTTGTTATTTTCTTGTATTTTATCAAGTAAAATCATATAGAGCTAGAGAAGAAACTTTGCTTGGCACTCTGCGCAGTAGAAAAAGATTAAATAAGGCAGTGAAAGAAATTTCCGAAATTTTTTGGATTTTAGGATTATGATTCCAGATTTCTGACTTGTACAGATGGCAACTCTGATGTCAATATATTGATAATGCGACTTTGCACACTGATGCCTCACTTATAAGTTTTTTGGATGAACAGACGCTATCTCTTAAACATTCATAGGCATTGATTCCGAGAATAGATTGTTCGACAAATAATGTGCTAATTCGATACCGAAATGTTGATTAGCAAGAGAATACAAATCAGCAACATTATTTTCGGTTAATCCTCCAATTGTTACAGAACAGAGAAAGTAAATTGAGCAATAAATAGAATGATTCCAGTATTGACGGCATTCTGATAAGTAGGCAAAATGATTACTTTTAGAACTAAAAGGTTCCACGACAATAGACGATTTCTGCTAAACGAGTTTTTCTATTTTGAAGTTGAGAGAATGGCAATACAAAAGCACTTTTTATCGTATCTAATAATGGATGTTGTTGTTTCGTTCGTTTTCGATGTAAGGAAACAAATCTGACGCATATATGCTGTAAGCGTAGTTAGAATTCAGACGGATCTAAAATTAGCCCAAACAAATTTAGAATGATAAGGCTGCAGCGGAACAACTTCAGAATTCGAAGAGGCAAACTTAAAATTATTTAACAAAACAAGGAAATTTTGGTAGCGAAAGAAAGAAAGAAGGAAGAATAGTCTACCTTGTGGCTACCGTTACCGTTACTGCCGAATGGCGGTATCGATAGCCCGATGTCTTCCCTGCAGTTGACAAGCTTCTGACATGGTCATCCATATAGCCACTAATAATCAACTACAGCTCTGCACAGAAGGCTAGTCTGACGCAGAGTTCTTTCGCCCAATTACTTGAGCTCTCGCCCATACACACTCATTAACCACGTACTAGTTTTCAGAAAGTTAAGATTGACGAGCTATATTATACATCACAACGTACTGAATTTGCTGTCGGTTGGGTGATCCGAGACAGTAAGACATAATTAACTTGTCCAAGTTATAATATGACGTGTCGGCGTCGAGGTTCGAATACAGTGCGTTTGGAGTATGTGATGAATAACATAACTACCAGAGCTCGTCACGGACTCAAAATTCTGAGTCCAGTCCATGAACTGAAAAAATCAAGTCCAATCCGAGTCCATGGAAAGTCGTTTTTTTAGTCCAGTCAAGGACATGGACTCTAAAAAAGTAGTCTAGTCCACAATACAAAAACAACATGTTTTTTACTGATTTTTCCTTGAATCAAGCCAGTCCAAAGTTTTTTCGAGCCCAGATCAGTCCATGGTCTTGAAAGTTTGAGTTCAATCCAATCCGAGTCCAAGCACTCCAAAAATGTCCAGTCCATAGGGTGCTCTGGTAACCACTAAAATAGGCGGCGGATCCCTCAGACTTGGGAGGCTTAGATATTTGATTTCCTTCCATCATTGTTTGAAAAAAGTTTTTGAGCCTCCCCTAGATTAGAGTCGTTCCGCCCCCTATGACCACTAAGTCATAATTTTCGTGGAAAGTAAAATCATTCATAATTCAATCAAAATCGCTTCAAATTACTTCAGAAGTCTAAGGTATATACTGTATTTTATCTTTTCAATCTGATTCTGCAATCTTGCTAAAACATAGATTCGACTTTATAGTAGCACTTTTTGGTTTGAAAACCATAAGATATTTCAGCTACATCCAGCGACATCAGAGTCGTGAAACTAAGCCACACAAAGATTATCTTGAAATATTAGTTCTGTGAAAAAATCTTTTTGACATGCATTGACTATAAAATCTACTTTTGCAAGACCTTCTCACAGCTGAGGGCTCGCTGGATGTTGTGTAAGTGTGCGGGTGTTTTATAAAGCCAAAATAAGTAATGAAACCGGTTTTTATAGTAAAATCCATGTATTACCAAGATTTCAAATCTGCTTGAATTGGTCGATGTATGCTAAAATGAAAACGATGCCGAGAACTTCTACGTACAAACATCGACGGTGTTGGCGTTATTTTCATTTTAGCTTATTTTAACTGCTTAAATTTGAGAAATCCATGCAACAAATGCGGAAAAATCCATGTTTTATTGAATAATTTTAAGTTTACCTGGGCTGATCTTAGATCCGTCTGCATTCGAATTACAACTACAATGTATATTCAATAGAATTTTCTCGTTTGATGATGTTCGTAACATCTGCATTTGTATGAATTCACGTTTTTGTTCACATCCTCCAACGAAATTTAGCAGTAATAAAAAATACCAGTTAGTAGTAAATGATTCGATGTTGAACGAAGAAGTGTTCTTAAGGTGCCGACGACTTGAAATGAGATTAGAATATGAGTCTGAAGCAAGCATAAGAGATCCTATCGCTATTTTTCCGTTGTTACACCTTGATAACAATATAAAGAACACTCAATATTTTTATAGTATTGCTCTTGCTGTTCATGAAGAATTCGCCCTCCTCTTTTTAGAAAACTTTTTGATTTTCTAACTAAACATGACAATGATAAAGTCTACAAAATAAGACCACTTCCCGCTCTTCATGATCGTTCGTTGAAGAGATACGAATTTTTGAAAGTTTTTTACGCCCACACACTTTCGAACTTTTTTCTGTTCCTTTCCGTATCTGAAAATGTTCTAACTACATAATTTTATAGAATAAAGAGTTCTCTACAGAATGAGATGTCTTCTGGTTCTCCACGATAGTTTTAATAGAGCTGTGATCCTTTTTCTGTTAGTCCTGAAAAAAATGGCATTTATGATACAAACATCTCTGCTTCAAAACTCGACTCGCCTGACTCCTTGTAGATTAGAAACCCATAAAAATTGTACCTCAGATACCGGAATAATATTTCAAAATGTAAATTATTTCTTATCGTTTCTAATTTTCTCCTTCAAGTTATAGACTTTTGGGAATGAAAAGCTGAATTTTTACGTAGGTATTTTACGTCAGAATAATTTAAAGTCAGAAATGATAATAAAATAATCGCATTCTGAGTTGAAATTACATGCTGTTAATCTGTTATTTCCAATTTTATACGAAACTTGTGATTACTAAATGAATGTTCAAGCGTTTTTATATAACGAAAATTTATATCGTAAAATTGCCATTGCAGTGGCTATTATTCGTAATACACCTCAAAATCTAACACCTACAGAATATGCGTCTCTTTTACAAAATGAGTATAAACATAAAAGGATGAAGTTAGAAAATGATATGAAACAATTGAAAAAAACGATTTATTTACACAAACAAGAAACGTGTTATACATTCGATAGACCACCAACATCAGTACTCGCTCAATTAGATTCATGCGTCGATTTCCTTCGTATCTCACTTGTATTGAATTCACAATTATCTGTGATGTCGGTCGATCTTCAAACAACGATTATGGAAACCATTGAATATCTGTTCAAACACTTTCGACAAACGTTATTTGTCAATCATGATGACGGAAATGATTTTAGTTCATCATTAAATATGTACAAAATTTTATTATCAATTATTGTCGAATATGATTCTGTTCAAAATATACGAGAAAATTGTCTTAAATGTATTGAAAATTTCGTCAGATTTACATTGAATACACTTTTTAAACTTGAAACAAATAATTTAATACAACAAATATTAATTCGAACATTCCTAGAACAAATAGGTACGTGCATCAGACTTCTATTTGTAAATGATAGTCAGCAAAGAGAGCGGGCGGTAATGTAGTCATTTTTGCTTCTAATTGACATTTGTAGATTGAAAAGCAGTTGCAGCTAACAATACTTCAATAAAATTTGAGTCTCAAATGTCACAACTAAGTCACATTTTATCGCGCTGCACGATGAATCGGTGCTGGACGCATTTTGTGAGACATAGTGAGACGCAATCGTTGACATACTAACGGCAATTAACATTTAAGACACATTTTTTAAGCACTTGTACAAAAAGGTGTTCATAGTTGGACCTGCAAATACTATTGTATTATAATATGACAATACAGCGATCTAGTATGAGTTCTCTTTTCACCAGTTATAGTCCACAGGAAATAGACGCCAAAACAGTTCTTAAGTTTTCGCATTAAACAATGGATGTCTCGTATATAGATTAGGATGACTAAAATAGTACGGTGAATGAATTTACATATATTAACATACTATATCATACTACGATGAAAAAGACACGTTAAAACATAAGATGCATTATTTGAGATATCAGAACGTATGCAAGACGCGAAGACGCTATAAGACATTTCTGATTGTGTTTAAAGACATCTATTGTTTTACAATGCATTGCAACACACATCAGAGCTAGAATAGTTATGTTCTTAATAGAACTCAAGTCACTGCAGTTTGTCCATCAAACTGTTTTGGAAGTATAACTATATTCTTTTAAAGAATATCCACTTCCACAGATCATGTTATTTTCTCTAATTTTTAGGTCTTTCTGTACCGTATTTTGCGCTGATAGTCGAACAAGTGTTATCTGATTTGATAACATATTTTGATGATGTTAACAGATCAACATGTTATCATGCGGTTGTGTTAATTGATGTATTAGAAACGCTAATTCACAAACATTGTACAGTCTATTTTAGTATTACAAATAATATCATTCAAACCTATTTTGATAGATTATTATATCATTCAATGGCATTGCCATCATCGTCAGATTTAACTCGTTCTAGTCTTATTGTTAAAATTTGGAATATCTATGGAAGAATAGTAGTAACATTTCCATGAGAATTATTTTTAATTTTTATTTATTTCTGAATCTTATTATTTGTGTTCAGTTTTGCTAGAAATAAATTATAGGAGTATTCAAGGCTGTATGTTTTGTTTAGAGAAGTGACATAATGTTGATCTTATTTTTAAAATCATTGACAGTAATTTGCTTGTATCAGAAACGATCTATTTCGTACTTTCGGTGTTGGCACAGCGTTAAAAGGTCAACGTGAAGAGTAATTTGAATATTTACAAGTGTACAAGTGGTTTATTACTCAAGTTTGTCATATAAAGTGACTATTAAACAGTATCCCCTCGACAATGAACTGTTAGCTTTATTAAATATAATTTTGAATTTTGATAGAAAAAAACGTTTTATTCAACAATGCCAAGATATCATTTTTCATATTATAAATGTCATTCAGCCATATGATTTAGTGAATGGAGAGTATGTTCTTCTTCTCTACTACTACATATACATAGCAAAAAGAAAAAAAACGAGAAACAGTAATCATGAGAACAAGTAAAAGAAAAGAAGTTGACATAATCTTTGCTATATGTCAAACTGATAGCATGCACAATATCAATTCTCATCGTAAGAGAAAATTTTTCATCGAGAAGTACACAAATTTTAATCGATTAGAGTTGCAAAACGACGGTGTAGTTTTATATAGAGAATATTTATTGTAAAAGAAAAATCGGATTCTAGACAACTGTCTATATGACTGATCGAATTCTACGTCCAATAGGGACATGATTTTTTCTCTCTGATTGCAATACGTACTAACTATAGGTGAGACCTGAGAGAAAAAAAAATAGATGTGGTTATCTAGATAAAAAAAATCAGTATATTATTTATTTATCAGTTATAAAGTTACTCGTGTGATAGAGAACTTATAAGTTGAACGTTACATTATGCTGTTGTAATGAGTCTAGAATACTTTTCTGCATCTTTTTTTTATACGAACACATATGATTTTTAGATGTTTTTCCTACTTGAAGAAATCTAAAAGACTTTTATAAGAGATATTTTTATAGGCAAATGTATTGTAAGAAAAATTGTTTGAATCGAAGAAATCAAACTACAAGGATAAATATAGTATTTGAGTATTCTCTACATGATTAAACGATGTTACTAACAACTTCTTAGCGATATAATAAAGAAGAATTTTGTCTATATAAATGCATGATCGAAAAAAATGTCGAGTATCTATCATTCTGGTTAACTGAATATTTTCTGTTGCATGTAATAAATAATTATTTTTTCCTAACCAAATAATTATCTTTCCATCCATAAATAGTAGAAAAAAACTATATATTTTTTATGGTTCGTGAAAGATATGTTCAAGGTAATCATCAAAATACAATGAAAAATGAATAACTGTTGTTCAGCTCAATAAAACTTATCATATAGATGATAATAATAAAGAGAGAGCGTGTGTGTGTGTGTGTATGTATGTATGTACGTGTATTCTATTCGTAGTACCATCATTAATATCGTGTGCCTGTTTATCATTTGTACTCTATATTGATATCCTTGATCATTATTGATTTCTCTTCACAATTATACCCGAACAGAATATTAAAGAGGATAAAACAGTCTACCAATCGGCTTTAATCTTATATTCCATGATATATATATATACACTCAGTGTTCAACATGATCTGTGTATGTACAACAGTGTTTCTAACTGTATTTCTCTCTGATGTTACGTCGGTTGGAAATGTTATTATTATCTATTAGTATATAACAATTAGATGAGCATAAGAAAAATAGATTTTTTCTAGCGTAAAAGATACAGTTGGTAAAAAAATTTAAAAAAAAGATAAATATTGAGTGAAGAATATTAGAGGCTTGCATGCTGTTAGGTAATCGTTAGGTACATCATGACTTGAACGAGTCTATTTGGAGTCTGATGAATATACTCCTTAGTAATAGTGAATAGTTGGAATCCTAATAAAATGCTATCACTCTGACAGTCTACAAAACGTCATTTACTGCTCATTAAGTTTGTTTCTTTTTGTTGGAAAAATAGTCATTGAAATTATGATTCACGATCAACCTGGAAAATTAAATCACATTTATTTTTCTTAAAGACGAGCAAATGTCTTAGAATACCCTACCACTCCTTTTGATTCGATAAATGATTTTTAGAGGAGACTAAAGGAAGAAGTTTCCTTATTCTACATGCGTTAGCAAATACAGTTTGTATACATCATTTGAACATTTTGCTATTTGCGACTATAAGAACAAAAATTTTATAATTTAATAGGTCTTCTTTTGTCTTTAATTTAGCAAACATCCTGATTAATCGATTTTACATGTTTTCTATATTTTAGCAAAAAAACTTTTTCTCTCAATAAATATTTGGAATGTATAGAAAATAAAAAAGCCTTATTATTGAACAGAAATGAGAATTATTGTTCTTAGATGTATCCATTAGGTATGTGTGTTACAATTGCATCAACATATACTATTGTATAACTGTTTCATGCATTTATTCATGTATATTTCCCGTATATGTGAGTGAATGAATGAGTTTGCCGTCGTCGTCGTTATGGTCTCTGAACAGTCAATCAACTCAAAAGAAGCTTAGTTTATAGTTATAATTACATTTTTCTTTTTTTTTCTCTTCTTTTCTTTGTTCTCTACATGTACAAACTACAATTGTACATAGAGACGATAAAATCTGTTCAAAATCACAGTATGTATGTCTCCCCAATTTGCTTTTCTCTGACTCTTTCTCTCTCTCTCTCTCTCTCTCTCTCTCTCTATGATTGGCATGCACAAACCCACATACAACAGGTGAATTCACCAGCTTGAACTATCGAGTAAAATTGTGACCATTTTAATTTTTGAAATTCTTCTATTATGTAGGATAGTTTAAAAAAAAAATCGACAATGATAAGAAAAATATTCTCTTTCTTTCGTATGTTATATGATGTATAATATTGTTATAGACTAGTGAAGGTACAATATTTAGTAAGAGAAAAGAATTAAAAGAGGAAAAAATATTGAGTAATAAGAAAGAGAAAAAGAGAGAGAGAGAGAGAGAAAGAGAAAGACGTGACTTAAAGATATTATCCATAGTTATGTAAAAATCGATCTGATGTAGCCTATACTATTCAGTTCATTCGTACTACTGTTTTTAAAAAACACATACATACGACCTCGGTCAGATGTAGACGGTGTTGAACAACGTATACACAATTGATTTAACTATTCTCTTCTAATTGTTCGTTTAAATATCTATTCAGAGTGAATGACAATTACAGGTAAACATAACAGTGTGTGTGTGTGTGTGTGTGTGTGTGTGTGTCTTATTTCTTTCTATTCATATACGACTTCTATCTATCGAATAAATAAAACTTATATCTTGTTATATCAATAAAAAAGGAATGATAGAGCTTCAAGGATTTATCACACTTCTTTACAAAGATAACATTATGATGCAAAAACAAATAATGATTTCTCTCTTCCATTTATTGTATATATGGAGGGTTTTACTAATTTTCGAATCTTTTTAGTAATTACGCGTTGTTTACTAATATTAAATAAAAACTTGATCTTCAATATGATTAATTACGTTTGAATAATAAAATTATTCCATTTTTCTATTTCTTTTTTTTAAGATCATCTATCTTCTAATGGGATGAATGAATCTTCTATAACGGTGCAAAAGCCCGATTCTTCCGTATCAGAGTTTGATCCGGAAGATGAAGATAGGTAATTAAGTTTGTTATAATCGAATATTTTAAAGAAATTAGAAAAGATTGTTGAAATGATTATTGTTTTCATCTTTTTTTTTTATTTTATAAAGTTGGATGTTTGAAAATATTAGTCGAGAAGAAGCCATTAATATGTTACAAGATCAAGTAAATGGAACATTTCTTGTACGACAGAGTGGAACAATTATAGGAGATCTTGTTTTATGTGTCAAGTACGTATATCTATTATAAAATTTATTTTAAATGAATAATCTATTTATGATTTTTATTTAGAGAAGGTTCTAAAGTCAGTCATTATATTATTAATTGTCGACATAATTATGATGATTTTAAAACAAAGTTAACGTATAAAATTGGTGATAAAATATTTTCATCCATGCCAGAACTACTCACATTTTATAAACAACGTCTGTTAGACACATCACCACTCATCAAAATAGTATGTCAATCAATTAAAAAAACATATTGTCTCCTAATTTCATTTATTTATTCTACTTAGCATCCAAAACCACATGTGCGTTGCAAATACAATTTTCCCGGCAAAGTACGCACTATCAGTAGACTCATTTTTTTTAGATTTTATTCTTATCTTTTGTTTTTTGTGTGTAGGATGAAGAAGATTTACCATTTAAGAAGGGTGAAATATTAATGATTGTCAAAAAAGATGAAGCACTCTGGTGGACAGCAAGAAATGCGAGCAGTGGAAAAGGTTTAATACCTGCAAATTATGTTGAATATGTTCGGTAAGGTGTCCACTAGTAATAGGATTAATTAAATCGTCCTTAGATTATGAAGATCTCCTCTATTAACAATATAAAATTAGAAATTGGATCGTAATGGAATCATACTTTATGAGGAGGCATCGGGGAAGATATGGTTCGACATGTTTTGATTCTTAAATCTATTTTTTTTTCTTTTTAAAATAAAAATTGATAGTTTTATAATTCATTCGTCTCGGTTTAGTTTGACGTAAAAAAAAAAGGCAACATCGCGACAAGTCAAATTTTTTTATTCAGTTCATTGGTGAACTAAAGACAGTGTTGCCCAGTAAAATAGCACAAATTCCATTACATACAAAGAATAGAGTCGAGTATTATTTACAATTCCATAGGCGAGAGAAAAAAATCAAATAATTTTTAAAAAATAGACATATATAACATACAGTGTTGACCGTAAATATGTACATCCTCTTGATTAAACTTGTTGTGCTTCTATCTCCTAAACGATATTATCTAGCAGAATCGACCTTTCATCAAAATGTTATAAATTCTCTCTAATATATTTATTTGAGAATTAAACATCAGAGTTCAACTCATCTTTTGTTCAGAAAAGTCCGACATTAAAATCGTGACCTTTTTGACTTAAATTTCAAAAATGAACTTAAAATTTCATGTTCTGTATTAGTTAGAGTGTATAGATGAAATTGTACCATTCAATAATCAAACACTTTGACTGTATTTTAATAAAAAATATTTTCAATAATTTTCATTCGTCATTGTTAAACATGACCTGTAGAACATGTGATATTCACAGTCCTTTGGCGTCAAATTCACGGTGGAATATTTTGATATTTTCAACCTTGTAAAATAACTTTTAAAATTTCGTTCTTAAGCTTAAAAGACGTAGAAATTTGTCTAGTATTTAATGATATGCTTCGGTCAGAATATATTGTTATGTGTTCTTTAAAACTCCGAAATAATAAGCTCCGTCAAAAAATATTACTATCATCTGAAAAGTAGTCTGTTTTATCCAAATCCTATTTTGTCCTATCCTATCCAAAAAAGGGTCAATTTAATTCTAGTTTTCTATGAAAAACTAAGCATACGTATTTTTGTATAAGATTTAAAAGATAATAGTTCAGTTACATAATTTTTTTCTATAGATCGGACTATCAGAAATTCTTTGCACTTGCTGTCGATATGCTCGGTTCAAAAAGCCATGGTCTTATGATAGAAAAAATCGTAAAATAGAATAGTTTTGGAGGGAGTTTACTATTTTGGAAGTTTTAAGGAAAACATAACGATATATTCTATCTAAACCATATCATTAAATACTAGACAAAATTCTGCGTCTTTTAAGCTTAGAACAAAGTTTTAAAAGTTATTGTACAAGATTGAAAAAATGAAAATATTTCAGTCTGAATTTAACGCCAAAGGACTGTAGATTTTTCAAGTAAGCAAATTTCTTCGTACTGAAGGCGTGTAAACATTTGTCAAGTAAAAGATTCCAAAAAAAGAAGACCAAAACGGCATTTTCTATTGCAATTCAAATATGAAGTTACGTTAAATTGACCATCTATTTAAATAACAGTCTTCGGCTACTTAATGTTTGTGTAAAATTTTTTCAATATGAAAACGACTCAAAGAGAAATACAGTCTACACAAAATAAGTTATTTCACTAAGCGAAAATTTATTCTTAGTTCCACTTTTCTAGTCATTTACAGTATTATTAAGCGTAGTTGAAAGATGTATAGATATTTATGGCCAACATCGTAAGACATAACATTCAAATTTGACATTAATTGGAACATTGAGAAGGAATATAGACAATTATTAATAAAATGATTAGAACCTTCACATTTTTCTTTTAGAGATAATGGAAAGTGATGATTATGATGCGGACGTTGATTCATGGTGCTTATGAATACTGATTCTTTATTTATATGATTTACATAGTAATTCATACTTCTTCAAGTAGCATAAACAAACAGTTTTGCTCGTTCGTTTTTGCTAAATGATCAATTCAGTCAAGACTTTTGTAGAAAAAAAATAAATACATTAATATTTGTAAAGCGGTTTTTTTATGTATATATTTGCCAATGAAGAGTGTCCATTTTTTATTGGTTATTATTATCTAAAAGTTATCCGCATGTTTTTTCTACAATGTCAAAAATTATTTGTTTTTCTATAGTGTTACGACAGTGGTCATGTCTTCTTAATAAAAAATAAATCGAGAACATATCGCTACAGTGAATCATTTTCTTTTACTTTTATGCATAATCATATTTTTAGTATAATGATGATAAATTTTTAATATTGATCGATATTATTACACATTGCCTTCTGGTCTTTGTCACAAAAAAAGTTTTCGCGTTTTTTTGTGTGCTTACTGTTTTGTTTTTTAGTTTGAACGTGGGTTTGTTTTGTTTTGTTTTAACTGCTTTATACTTCTATTTTGTTGAAAAATGCAGCAATAAATTATATTGTAAATTACTTCTGATCATCTAACACAAAACCAGTGAAATACAGATGATTTTCAGAAACAAGTAAACGATCTACGAAATATATACTGCTAATGACAAGATTGAAGGAGTCATATGAAGAGAAAAGGTACACAATCCATGTCATCAAAATCGCCTAACTTTTGCCGATTAATTGTGATTTTGACTCAAAAAATGATGATTAATCGCGATAAATCGCACAATTAATCGCCGATTTTTTTGGCTTGTCACTATGGAAACCCAGCAGAAAAATTGCGATTAATCACCATTTTGAGTCAAAATCACGATTAATCGGCAAAAGTTAGGCGATTTTGATGACATGGGAAGTATTTCAAAGACTTGTATTATTATTAATGATATTATTTGTGTTTGTTCAACAATCCTAAAAGTATTGTGTTTCAATTTAAAAAAATGGTCTGTTATTTCTTGAAAAATCGAATAAAATATTATTTCATTTGATCAGACTGACAGGACTGTTGGAACAGGGAGCGTATCAAGTTTTCTTTTTTCATATTGTTAGGCTTATCACGCTGGGTGCTAAGATTCAAGAATAGACCTTAATATTATCTGATACATTGTGACCAAAAAACGACCTAATTCTAAGTTAATACTCCGAAAAAAGAGATTTTTCGTAAAATAAGTCTTCAGTTTAATGAATAATCGAACTCTAACATTTATCCAGAAATGGATATGCACACTCTGAAAAAAAGTGCGATCAAATTAAGTCACATTTCTTTTTTTAGAGTGCATCAGTATGCTAATTTCATAAATATAGTATACATGAAACAATACCTGTGCAAATTTTGAATGTAAATTGAGAATTTGGAAACGCATCACACAAAAGACTTGTTTTACAAAAAATTTTCAGGTGAGCACACCTAAGTGAGATGCCAAAATATAAAAATATTGAATAAATAACATGTACTACCATATGAAAAGAGGAAAAATATCTTTTTGTTCTCTAAAGCATCTTTTGAGGTTTTCTTCTTACGTTTATTATCCCCCAATAGTACAATTCAACACTCCTTTTCAGTATTCTCGGCAGTGTAAAATAACCCCAAATTGTTTTATGTCGCTCATTTTGATTCTTGTTTTCGATTACACGAAAACTTAGTTCGAACTTCACGAACTTTATAGTTTTTACTAGGAATTATTATTCATAGCCCACAGTTTCTCTGGCTACTTTACCTTGTTATGATCTCTTTTTACTTTAGAATTTAGATAATAAGAAGAGAATGACAACTACTATACAATCGCAACAAAAGATGCAAATGTAAGATCAAATACTTAATATACATTTAAGTTTATTTTTCTGCATGCACAAATCGCACATGTTTGAATTAATTTTATTCCTTTAAAACTCGCAGACTATAAAAGATTTTGTCTTTTGTTATAGATGTAGCAAATCATCAGCTCCTCAGGTTCCATTTGTATCTCTTCTGTACTTCGATTATGAATGAGTGTTATTCTGTTATTCAGTAGCTCTTTTCAAACAGTCTTATGATTATATCATATTTCATTGTGCATCTAACCCAGGTCGACTCTCACGGCAAAGTCGCTACGTGAGTCACGGAAAAAAGTCATGGCGTGAACGCGATCGCTATTGGACTCACGAAAAATGTCACGATTTTCGCGATCACTATAAACTCACGATGAAAAGCATTTTTCCAATCCACTCGC